GGCACGTACTTTTCCTCTTCTCCAGTCATACTTCTTTCCTTCTGTGTGTTGGTAGTACACCGGCTGACCAGGTGACAGTTGTTTCAGGTCTCGAGCGCCTTTGTCATAACTTTGCTTAACCAGAAGGCGGCAGGGGCGGCGGAACAGGGGGGGCTAGGGGGCTAAAGCCCCCCCAGAACTAAAAGTGGGGGGGCTTAGCCCCCCCAGGAAATTTGAATTTTTCGAAACAATTTTGAAAATTAGGGAAAAATTTAGTTTATTTTATGAAAATTTAGGTATAAGGGAACAAATTTGCAATATTTTGTTTAAAAAAAGCGTATTTCCGAAATTTTTTTTTTATATAAGTCCGGAAAAAATTTTTTCGTCCCTTTTTTTGTATATTATACCCCTAAAGTGGTACACACGAAATCTGTTCCGCCGCCCCTGGAAGGCGGTGTCTGCATGGCTCTCTTCTGTGTTGCATTTCTCGCCCGTTCTGATTTTGTGTTCGATATGGCTGGTAGGAATGATTGTGTTGCTCGACCAAACATCATTTTAGCTGGACTTTGTCCAGTACCCTGGCGTGGCGTGTTTCTCAGTTCAAGTAAAGCCTCATATTGATCAGTGTTGTCCCGCAGCGACTTCTTCATCATTAGCTTTATAGTTTTAACCGCAGCTTCCGCTTTTTCATTCGATTGGTGATGGAGGGGTGACGATGTTACATGCTTAATTCCCCAGTGTTTGGTGAAGGTCTTGAAATCGGAGGAAATAAATTGTGAACCACAATCAGTTACCATTTCACTTGGTATGCCATATCTTGCAAAATGTCCTTTGAGTTTGGTGATTATCTGTTTACTTGTGGCAGTGCTTAGGTGGTCAACTTCTATGAAACCCGAGAAATAGTCAACCGTGGCTAGATAATCTCTTCCTTTGATCTCGAAAAGGTCAATTCCAACCTTATTCCAAGGTACTTGTCCTTCCTCATACTGTTTTAATGGCTCTTTCTGGTTTTGTGGTTTGTATTGCTGGCAAGCCTCACAGTTATCTGCTAGCTGTCGTACTTCTTTTGCCATTCCGGGCCAAAATATGGTGTCTCGAGCTCGTGTCATCATACTATCGTACCCCAAATGTGCAGAGTGCAATCGTTTCTTTGTGGTGTCGCGTAGCGATGCTGGGATAACTATTCTTTCTCCCTTTAGGATAATTACATTTTGATGGCTCAATGTGTCTCGCACATCAAAATATGGCCTCAGATCATTTTGTACGTCCTTCTTGCTTTCTGGCCAACCATCTTTTATAGTGCTCAACAGGGACTGCATACATTGGTCCTGTGCGGTAGCTGCTTGTACCTCCCGGATTCGCTCATCTGGCACTCCTTTCAGAGCGTTTACTTTCATGACTCTCACCTGTGCGTCAGGAACATCAAGAAAAGCTCGGCTGAGGGTGTCGGCAATAACAAGTTGACTTCCTTGAATGTAGTGAAATTCAATGTCATAGCGATGAACTCGTAGCATCAGTGCTTGTAGTCGTTTTGGGGTCTGGCTCAGAGGTTTCTTCAGGATTGAGGTCAGAGGCTTGTGGTCATTCTGTACTATGACTTTTCTTCCATACGTATATTGGTCAAATCGTTCAAGACCGAACACCACAGCTAGGGTTTCTTTTTCAATTTGTGCCCAATTCCGTTCAGCAGGAGTCAGTGCTCTTGAGGCGTATTCAATTGGTTTGCCATCTTGCATCAGTGCTGCTCCGAGTCCGTCTTTACTGCTGTCTACTTGCAATAGTAGCTCCTTGTTCGAATCAAAGTATGCGAGCAAAGGAGTTTGTGATCTTTTCCTTGACCTTCTGGAATGCTTCTTGACACTCTGTTGACCAGTTCCACTCCACATCCTTCTTGGTCAGCTCTCGAATGGGTTGCAAATCACCAGCAAGGTTGGGCAGAAACTTAGCCAGATACTGAATCATTCCACATAGCCGCTTCACTCCATGTACATCTGTGGGGGCCGGCATGTCAAGGTAGCCTCTACCTTTGACTTGTCTGCTTTTACTCCTTCATTGGTGATAAGATGGCCCATAAACTTGATTTCTGTCTGCTTCAGGACAGTTTTCTCATCATTCAGCTTGACTCTCTTTTATGCGCATCTTTCTTGCAGTGCCAGGAGGTTCTGCTCATGATCAGCATCAGCTTCTTCTCTTGTGTTGCCACTCCCATACACAACCAGATCATCTGCAATGCATATCACACCATTGAGACCAACAAGTGCCTCATTGAGCTTTCTTTGAAATATCTCACTGCTGACCTTGAGCCCAAATGGGAGCCGGGCCCATCTGTATCGTCCAAATGGTGTAATCATGGTGGTGAGTAAGCTAGATTCATTGTCCAGTTGGACATGCCAGTAGGCTTGTTTCACATTGAGTTTGCTAAATACTCGTGCTTGGCTGAGACTAGGTAGAACATCATCTAGTGTTGGTAGCTTGTAGTGCTCTCTTTGCAGGGCTGCATTTAATGATTGTGGGTCAATACAGATTCTCAAAGATCCGTTTGGTTTCTTTACAACTGCCATTTGGCTTACCCAAGCAGTTGGTTCTTCCACAGGCACCAGTACGCCAGCTTCAACTATGTGGTTAAGTTCCTCCTTAACATTCTCTTGCAATGCTAGTGGCAGTTTCCTACATGGAAGTGCTCTTGGTGGGACATTTGGATCAACATGTAGTTGTGTTTCTCCCAACGATCCTAACTGATTAGCGTCAGTGCTTATATGGGCTATGAAGTTGCCATCATTGATTGTAAGTAGTCCCATTTGTTGTATAGTTGACAGACCCAGAAGACAGCTATAATTGTTTGGGACAACAATAAAATCGACCACGGTTTCTTCTTCATTCTTTGGGTTCATGATCTTCAAGGTAGTTTCTCCCAATGGGTTGACCTTGGACTTGTTCCACATGATTAATTTCTGTGTGGTGGGTTCCACCTGTGTTGGTCGTACAAACTTTTGTCACAGTGTGTTCACATCGGCTCCAGTGTCAAGCTGAAATCTGACGTCACAGTCATTTACTTGCATCAGAGCAGTGGCACGGGTTTTGTTGGGAACTTCCACAGTTGCAAGCCAGTTGGTATCAGAGTCATCAGATTCATCAGAGTTGCTTTTTGTCTCTAGTGTGTGTACTTTCTTGCACTTGACTTCAAAATGGTTTCTGCCTTTACAATGGTTACAGAGTTTTCCCCAGGCGGGACACTTTGTCTTAATGGCTTCATGAGACTTTCCACAAAAATTGCACTCATTCAGGATGTGAGGGTTATTCCTGTTCTTTTGTTGTTCAGGGTGTTGTTTTGTTGGATACTTTGAGCTTTTCTTGCCAGCTATATGCTCAATCTTCTGTAGTTGACTGCTTTCACTCATTTCCTTTTTATTTCTCGAGGTGATCTCATAGGCTCTGCATATTTCTACAGCTTTCTTTAAGTCTAAACTAGTCTCTCGTAATAACAGTTTTTGTTGCTTACCGGTTACAGTGTCTCGTATCATTCTTTCTTTTTCCTTGAAATTGCAAGAATCAGCGTAAGAGTACAACTTTGTTAGGAATGTGTCAAAATGTTCTTGGAAAGGTACTTGCCAAAAGCGAAAGGATTGTAGAACTTCATTTTGTCGTGGATTACAATATTCCTCTAGTTTTTCGAGCACTTTAACAGGATCATTTTTGTCATTTTCTCCTTCAAATTCAAAATGATCATAAACCTCAAGGACTTGCGGGCCTGCACAGTGTAATATAATAGCCGTTTGTCGCTGCTTTGGCTTGTTATTATTCCCACTAGCTTCCATATAAAGTTGTAACTGACGTTTCCATTTCTTAAAGCTATCTGCCAGATTACGGTCTGTCAGATCGAGCGATGAAGGTAGATGAAATTGTGGCATTTCCATTTAAATAAATATAGATACTCACAAAATACTAAGGATCTTTAAGAATATATCGCTGCCACCATGTTAAAAGGACTACAAGTCTGTATTAAGCTGAATTAAGTTCTAGTTTAATACTAAAAGACGGCCTTCACGCCATGCTTTTTAAGAACAACAACTTACGCATGTGCGCCCGCTAGGACTCCCGACTGCGGGCTCAAAACCAAATATAAACATCTAAGTTTGTCTTTTTCCTAAGGTAGGGAATCAAGAAACAATTGTTAAATTGGTAGTGGACTCCAAACTTTATTACATGCAGAAGTATAATTTTGCTTTTAAAGTCAGTGAACTTGACGTCTTGAGAAATAAGAAGTGCAGAAAATAAAACCAGGGGCAGGTCACAGGAATATTTTTTTTGAAATAATACATTTAGATTTTAGATTGAACCTAAGGTTGTCACAGACTTTCTGACTTGAAAAACAAAATTCTGTGTGCCTATAGTGAGTAGTGTCGTAGTGACTGAGTCAGTTTAATTATTGATGCTTGAATTTAATGCTCTTTCTCTTATTCAATTTTAAAATAAGATTTCCGCACCGAATTTAATATTGTTTAAGATACTGTTTAGAGGTCCAACATACTGCATGCGCATGAAAAGTTGCGGTGACATTGCAGGTTTGAATTGGTTCAAACATGCGCTATTGTCTTGAATTGCTTGTTCTGTGATTGTTCTAATTAAATCAATGTTTGATACTGATTTTCGGCACATACGAACTTTAAATTTTGTGTTAGAAATGTTTATCATGGACAGGCATAGTACCTTATTTTTTAATAGTCTTGACAGACGATTGACCTTTTCTTCCTCACTAGCAAAAGTATCATCATCCGAATCAGCAATACGTCTTTTCTTAGTACCTTTGGCTTTGCTTGGGGCTGCAATCTGGCCAACTGACTCAGCATCCGAATCCTCAGCAGGCGTTAGGTCTGGACTAGGACTTCGCTTTCGGTTACCTTCATTTGGCTTTGCCTTTGATTTCCCATCTGTTGAAAGATTGTATTGCATTTTCTAAAAGCCAATATGTCCGTGCATGAAAACGTATTTCACACATGCAATGGCAATGGAAAAAACAACTAGCTATTTAATTGTTACTGCTATATACAAATGCACATTTTGAATTATATAAAGTATAGTGCTTTATAGAGATTTTCAGCACTGATAAAAGTGATAATCTCACATGTGAAAATTGTTTTTCAATTATGGGTTTTCTGCAAAAATTATTGCTTTTTAAAGGCAGAGTGCGCCCAAATTCGTGCATGCGCATTGCGTTCAAAAACTTGAAAAACTTAATGTTGTAAATCAAGTTTTAAAAATCAAAATGGCGTCGTATATAGTCTACAGTACTAGGGGGTAAAGAAAGTTTTACGAGTTTAAAATCAGTTATATAATGATGTATATTTGTGCGAAATCAAGGCTAATAAATTGATCTCCGGATGTTATGAATTATCACAATTATTATGTATGCGAAGTGTAATTTGATACCCGTCTATTCAGATGAAGCATCGAGCGGTATATTTGACACATCATTGGCGCGGCTGGCCGACTTTCACATTTTTACATGCGTTCAATGCTATGAAAAGCTCTAAAACTGACAGTGACGATAAGTTTCGTTGTCCTACTGAGCCTGGCCCATCTTTTCAATCGCTTGAAAGTGGTACGCACGGTGGGAAAAGACGTGGTTCTGGGAGGAAACACAAGCATGAGGAAGGCTACGAGAACGCACGTACGAAGTGTGATTTGGAAGACCATTTCCTTGCACAATGAATACAATGATGTCTATGACCTGTGGATGGATGTACGCGAAATTTATCAACTCCAATGACAAGTCGAGTAAGCCATCATCAAGCAACAATTTTACATCAACTCGAAGGCAATTAAAAACACAACTTTTTAATTCAGGTAATTATACTTTTCTCTCATACGTATGCCTTTTTAATACTCGCCTATGTGTTTTAAATTTATGAATGATATATACAGTGAACTGAATATATAATAGTTTATATACAAGATTTTAATACTACTGCATGTTCCTATTTTCTATTGTCACTGTATTGGGCCTATAATTGGCCCCATTAGCTATACCCATCATAGAACACATGGCGGTATTTGCTTTCCTAGTCCTTGCTACCATTTCATCTCGAATATTTTTCTTGTTTTATCTCTTGAATTTAATATACTTTTATATGATTTATTCCTTCATAAATTCATATGTATTCGGCCATTTAAATATATAGCCCCTCCCCCCCCCCCTATTGAGGGGTCCCTTCATAATCCCCTTAGGATACAAAAATTTAGGGCC